ATATCTATTTTTGTATTAGTTTTTACCTTCCATTATAAATGTTTTGGATTTATATTACATTAAATTTATTTGTTTTCTTTTTTTTTTTTTTTGAGTTTAAAATACAATTTTATAATCATTATTATTCTTTTAGAATTTTATATGTGTTTGTATTTGTATTAATTCTTATTTTCTGTATTATCATATTTCTGTTTAATTCTTATTCATCTTTTCATTAATACTTCTTTCTATTTCTATTTTATTTGTTTGTTCTTTGTTTATTAATTATTATTACTTTCTCACTATTTATTTAGTTTAGTATTCTTTTATTCTTTAATTAAATAATATTGTTTGATTATTTGTTATTGTGTAATTAATATCATCTTTGTATCCTTATTCATTTTTTATTATCTTTATCAATAATCATGAATATTAAGTAATAAAAGAAATGAATGAATATAAAATAAAGTCACAATAATAATTAGATAATAATATAATGAATCTGAATCTAATTTAAAAGAAGTTATGAATAAATATAATTTTATTATTTTTCTTATATTCATTATATTTCATTATTTATCTTGTTTATATTTTAATTTTATTATCAATTATTTATTCTATTTTTTACTTCTTGTTTTTCTTATTCATTTTATCATTCTTCAAATTAATTTAACAAAAAGAAGTAAATTATTTAAATATTGATATTTGAATAGAATATAATTAGGAGTATAATATTGACAAATAAAATAAATAAATACGAGATTAGTTCATCATTCAAACCCCTTCAACTTTGACAATAACAATTCTGGTTAATGCATGTAAATGCACAAAGCACTTGTCTACAATAAATACTTTGGTATTAACATCAACTCTGTTGTTCAACATCCGTTCTTGGTATTAAACTCTCTTCTCTCTTATTTATCTATTTGTGTTTTTCTTTCTATTAAATATGAAAATATCAATTATGATTACTTAATATTTAATATTTCATCTATTTGAAATGTGAGTATTTCACTTTATTCATCTAATTTATTTTCTTTTGTTTTATTTTTTCAAACATCATTAACTTCAATTATTCTTCATTTAACTTGTTATTTTGACTTTAATGTGTATTAAATCTCATTATCATTGATTGTCTTATTTTATATTGAACATATCATTATAATTATAACTAGAAATAACATTATATATCACTATTATTCAGTTAACATTACTTTTTCTTGATAACACCATATATTTCATCATAATACATTCATTATCAAACATACTTCAATCTATTTCATTAAATAATATTATCACATTAATTACTTCATTAATATTAATTCTTATTAAATATTATTAAATATTACCCATTTATTCTTTTTGTGTTTTCTCTCAAAACCAATGCCATGACTATAAAATAACTAGAAATTTCATTACTTAGTTTTATTTTAGTGTTTCATATAATGTCTCTGAATTAAAACATTTGATTCTTCTTTTCTTTCTATCATTTAAATATTCACATCGTCATAAAATTGACTAACATTCACAAAAATGATAAACAGACATAAATAATACTCAATTAAGAAACAAAAGATAATAAAAAGCACTTAATTAAGTATTAATAGAAATAGTTTCTATTCTTCCTGCATCAGGGGAGACTAATCATGTCACTTCATCTTCTAGAAGCTCTACGGAGTATATTTGATTGTGATAGAAACAGTATTTCATGACATTATTCATGTTTTTAATTACATGTTTTTAATTTCCTTAACGATGTCAATGTCAATTTTTATTTCTTTAATTAATCTGATACTTTCTTTATTTATTAATCCATTTATTGAGATTATTACTGGAATTATTCTGACATCTTTTAATTTTTCTATTTTCATTAACATATTCTTTAATTCCTTATACTTATTTCTTTTCTTCAAATAGGCTCAATTAATATTGTAATCAGCCACAATAGTCATATCAAATATTAGACTAGTTTTATTCTTTTTATCTAATACATATATATGGTATTTTGTGATATTGTCATTCACTTTTAGGCATTATTTGTTTGTTCAATATCATATTGATGTCTTTATATTGGAACACTGTTTCATATTGTATTTTTATATTGATTATTTCATGTGTATTTTCTTATTAATCAATATGATAATGCCAATATTGTCATGTTTTTCTATTTGTGATTTTTTATGATAAATACAAGATAGTAGAATGTGTTCTACTGTAGCCATCTTGTCTTTACAAAGTGTGCAGTATTTCAATCTTTCATTTTTCATTATTTTTGATTTTCATACCCACAAAATATTGCTCCATCTTGCATTTTATTTAATTGTAGAAATGCATTTTTTTTTAATATTGATTGACTTCCATGCTTTCACTGTAGTAGTTTTATCTACTCCTTTTGACTCGAACCATCTTCTGAAGTGTCTATTTATTTGATGGGACTTCCATTTTTTGATGTATTTGTCATTAATTTTATTATTTCTACTATTACTTCTTTTTCTTTTTTCTTTTCTATCCCTTCATTTATTATTTCTTCTATTTTTGTTTCATTTATTTTATGAATTAATGTGTTTTAATTCTATTCCACATTCCTTTCTTATTGTACCATCTATCTAATATGTTATTTCCTATTTCACTTTCTCTGGTACAGTAGTACATCACTGTTCTTACTAATTCAATAACATATTCGTCCCTTATATTTATTAATCCTTCATCCATTTCTTCTTGAGGGACATACAACCGATCTTTGGAGTTTCACCAATGTATTTTGCCTTTCTTAAATATTTTCTTATCTCCAAATCAATTTTATCTAGGTCAGTGATTTTCCAATTTACAACTGATGCTGAATATCTGAAGATAGGGATTACTTCAGTGTTTATTCTAGTAATATATCTTCTATTACTACTTTCATCAGTGTTTATTTCTTCCATCTTCTTCATCATTTTTTCTTTGATGGTTTTACAATTGAAAGTGTCATCAATTTCGTCAGACTGCCATATTCCTAATTTAAAAACAAATAAATAAATAAGAAAAGGATATTATTAAATAAATCAAAAAAATATATTATTCCAAATATGAAAGATATTATGGGATATTGGTTTTATCACTATCAAATCAATATTGTAGAAATTCTAGAAAAATGTTCATGAATGTAAATACAAAATTTAAAATATTAAATAAAATATTAAATTTTTTTAATATTTATTATTAATTATTATAGTTTTAGTAAATTAAATTAATTTTAATAATTCTTCAAAATCTTGGTCATTTAATTCATTTGGCTCATCTTTATCTTCTTCATAATTTTGAATAAATAATTGATTTAATCCATCCTCATCTTGTTTTCCAATTTCTATTGTTGTAGGAACAGCTTTTTGTTCACAAACACCATCTTTTATAGTTACAAGAATACAAATAACAAGTTTTTTAAACATATCTTTACGAGAACATGCAACTGAAAATTTTTTACAAGTTCTATCAGCACGATTATAATCTTTTCCTGTATATTTAGATCTTCCATATCCTCTACAAATTACATTAGGAAAATGAATAAAATTAATTTGAGTAATTGTTGTATATTGAAAAACATATTTTGTTATTCCATTACTTTGTATTTCATCTTTAAAATCACAAGTAATTGATATAATTTCTGTTGACCAAGCATTAAATCCAATATAATAATTACAAAGATTATACATTTGTGGCAAACGTAATGTATGTTGGTTGTTTGTTAATTTCTTTGGATTAAATATTTTTAATTCATATTTATTTGAATGAATTTTAAAATATTTTCCTAATTGATTATGACATTTAATCCATGCGTTATGACTAAAATACATAAAATGCATTGTACTTGGATTATTTTTTAATCTATTAGCTTTATATAATAATCCAAATGTTGTAAATAATACAATCATTTCATTTTCATCATTTTCATCTACATCTTCAATAAAAATACTATTATTAAATGAAGGAACAGTGAATGGAATAATTTCATCTTTTAAAGACTCTTGCATATTAAGAAATAAAGAAAAGAATAACAATTAATATTTTAAAGTGAGTTAATAAATTGTTATACTTAACATAATTTATTTTTATAATTTTTAATTAATAAAAATATAATAAAAATAAAAATAATAAATTTAATAATAAATTTTAATAACTAAAAAAGTAAAAGAGAAGATGAATGAATTGAAACATGATAAAGTTACTCAAATTAAACAAATGTTAATTGCTATACCAAATGGAGATGTTCTTTATAGTGGACATTATGAAGAATTATTTTCTGTAACAACATTAGAATTAATGATGGTTAAATTAAATAAACTTAAATGGAGACTTAATGCTAATCCAACTATTTCAAAAGAAATTAAAAATCAAGTAAATTCTATGGTTAAAACTGGATTTGAAAATATTCTTTGGGGTGATTCTACTTCACAAGATATTAATGATGAATTAAAATTATTAGAATCATCAGATTCACCTTGTAATTGTATTTATGAAGAACAAACATCTATTCCTCTTTATAATCAACTTTTTCATGCAACTCCTGAACAATTAGAACGAATTTATGATATTATCATTCATTCAAATTTAAATATTAATGAAACAAAATTTCAAAATAATAAAGATGAAATGGATATTGAATTTACTATTAATGATCTTTCTAAACAATGTCTTTTAGACATTCAACAAATTTTAAATGAATTATTTTAAAAATTAAATATTCCAAGGTTTTCCGGTCAACAGTTCTATAACTTTTGACTGTAATTACTTGTTCATTCTATGATCCTAATAGATGTTACATAATCTAATTATATAACAAGGAAAGAATCAATGTACATTACAATTTGAACTATTTTATTTTCTTTATTTTCTTTTTTATTTTTTTTAAATTATGGTTTAGGGTTTTTTAAATACCAAAAAATTTTAAATACCAAAAAATTTTTAAATAAAAAAATTTTTAAAAAATAAAATGAAAAGGGTAAACTCTGATATATTCAAAATTCGAGAAAATTCTTTTTCAATATAAAAATTTAAAAAAAGATTAAGAAAGAATATTCTACTTAGGACAAATAAACTAGTTTTGTTTTAGAAATTTACTATTTCTTTTTTAAATTGGACCTTCTTCTATTATTTATACAACTCTTTCATCTTAAAAGTTCAAGTCATGGATACTAAAGTCGTTCAACCTGAACCTCAAGAAATTAAACAAGAATCAAGTGATCCTTCTACTTCTGAAGAAACTATTTTAGATCAACCTGTTCAATTAAAATCTTTTACTACTGAAACTCAACAATTACTTGAACATCCTAAAAAAGATGTTTGGTATAAAGATGTTAATGTTTATAAATTATTGTTTTTATTAATTGTTAATCTCTTATTCTTCCTTTGTGAATTAATTACAGGTATTGTTATTCATTCATTAGCTCTTCTTGCTGATGCTTTTCATATGTTAAGTGATCTTTTATCACAAGTAATTGGTCTTGGTGCTATTTTATTAGCAAAAAAGAAAGCTTCTAAACGTTTAACTTATGGTTTTGTTCGTGCTGAAGTTGTTGGTGCTCTTATAAATGGTGTCTTTTTATTGTCTGTTGCTTTCTTTATTATTATTGAAGCTATTCAAAGATTTATTGATATTGAAGAAATTACTCAACCAAAAATTATGCTTATTGTTGCTGCTGTTGGTTTATTCATTAATCTTGCTGCTATGTTATTATTCCATGACCATCATGGTCACTCTCATGGTCATTCTCATGGTCACTCACATGAACACTCTCATGGTCATTCACATAAACATTCTCATGAAGGGTATCAAAGACATGAAAGTCATGAAGAAGAAATGAAAGAAAATGATGTAAAAGAAGTTGCTATTGATACTGAAACCAAAAAAGAAGATAAAAAGAAAAAAGAACATCATCATCAAAATTTAAATATGAAAGGAGTTTTCTTACATGTTATGGGAGATGCTTTAGGAAGTATTGTTGCAGTTGCAGTTGCTCTTTGTGTTTGGTTTATTGATGGAGATTGGAAATATTATCTTGATCCATCATTATCAGTAATTGTTGCATGTGTTATTATATGTTCAGGAACACCATTAGTATATTCTTGTGTTAAAATTTTAATGCAACGAGTTCCACAAAATGTTTCAATAAAAAAATTAAAAAGAGATATTTTAGCTGTTAATGGTGTTGATTCAATTCATGAGTTTCATTTATGGCAGTTAGCCAATGAAACAAATATTGCTACAATCCATTTATTCTTAAATGAAGATGATCGTTGTCGTGTTATGGAAATTGTTCAAGACGTTAAAAATGTATTCCATAAATATGGTGTTCATTCAACAACTATTCAAACAGAATTAGGTGTTATTGGAGAAGAAAATGGACATGATTCTGTTGGAGTTTCAAGAAGATGTTTGATTGGTTGTCCAAGTGATGAATGTAAAAATGATGTTTGTTGTAAACAACCAATAATCGAACAGAAATAATACAAATTCTTTTTTTATTATTTTTTTTTTTTATTATTTTTTTTTTTATTATTTTTTTTTTATTCTAAAAATTTTAATAAAAAAAAAAAAATAATAAATTATAATAAAAGAAAAACAGTCAATGGAAGGAGTTTTGGCTGTTAGTGATGGACATGACTTATATACAAATGATGTTGGAAGTGTTAGAGGAAATCTTGAACCTAAAATTATTTCATTTGTAAAGAATTTTAGTAAACATAAAAATAATATTTTTGATTATAGAGAACAATTACAAAGAAATATTAGAATGGGAAAATATTTCTTAGAAATTGATATAATGGATCTTCAAAATTTTGATGAAAGTTTAAAAGAAGCATTATTTAAACATGCATCAGAATTTATATCAATTGTTTGTTTAAATATTAATTAGTTAATAACCAATATTAATATATAGTTTGAAAATGTACTTTCAGTTCAAGTACTTTCAATGAGAGGTTGGGAAAAAAAAGAAGATTATATAGAAAGTGATACTGGTGGTCCAATGATGCAAGTTATTATTAAAGATACTCAAAGTAAAATGATTCAACCTCGTATGTTACAATCTTCTTTTCTTAGTAAAGTTATTAGAGTAAGTGGTATTATTGTTTCAATTAGTAGAGTTGAACCTAAAGTTACTAAAGCAATATTAAGATGTAGAAGTTGTCAAAAAGAAATTGCAGTTATAGTTCCATCATGTTGTGGTATTATTAATTATCCTAAATCATGTGATGGAGTAAGTCCAGTAACTGGTAAAAAATGTCCTCCAGATCCTTATGATGTTGTTACTGAAAAATGTAAATTTGTTGATAGAATTGTATTAAAATTACAAGAAACACCAGAGAACGTTGCACCAGGTGAAGTTCCAAGAACAGTTACCGTTATTTTAGAACGATATCTTGTTGTTGGATTAACAGCTGGTCAAAGAATATGTATTGAAGGTATTTTTGGTGCATCTTTACAAAGAAAAGGAACTATTTCAACATCATATATTAGAGCAATTGGAATTGAAATTAGTGGTCAAGTTGTTTCTCAAGATGATAGAAGAATGAAAGAAGTTGCAAGAACAATAACTAAAGAAAAACTTATTAAATCAATTGCACCAGCTATTTGTGGGTATGATGATATTAAAGAAGCTGTTTTATGTCTTATGCTTGGTGGAAGTGGTAAAGCACTTCCAGATGGAACTCATTTAAGAGGAGATATTAATGTTTTATTAATGGGAGATCCTGGAACAGCAAAATCTCAATTACTTAAATTTGTTCAAATGGCAACTCCAATTGGTGTTTATACTTCTGGTAAAGGTTCTTCTGCTGCTGGATTAACTGCAGCTGTTAATAAAGATTCTTCTACTGGAGAATTTTATCTTGAAGGAGGAGCTCTTGTACTTGGAGATGGAGGTGTTGTTTGTATTGATGAATTTGATAAAATGAATGAAGTTGATCGTGTTGCTATTCATGAAGCAATGGAACAACAAACAATTTCTATTGCAAAAGCAGGTATTACAGCTGTTTTAAATGCACGATCTGCTGTTTTAGCTGCAGCAAATCCATCATTTGGAAGATTTAATGAGAGAGCATCATTTGGTGATAATGTCAATTTAAAAACTACGATTTTGTCAAGATTTGATATGATTTTTATGATTAGAGATAAACATGACGCAAAAAGAGATAAAGAAATAGTTAAACATATTATGGATATTCATCGTCAAGACGTAAAAGTTGATAATTTAAGTACAGACATTTTAAAAGAATATATTGCTTATTGTAAAGCATATTGTATTCCTCGTCTTACAGAAAATGCTTCAAATAAATTATCGAATTATTTTGTTTCAATTAGACAAAAAGTAAGAGAAAATAAACTTGAAAATGATAATGATGAAGGTATTCCAATAACTGTAAGACAACTTGAAGCTATTATTCGTATTAGTGAAGCATTAGCAAAAATGACTATGAGTGATATTGCTGATGAAAATCATGTAGATGAAGCTATAAGATTATTTGAATTATCAACAATGAATTCTGCTGTTAGACAAAAAGAAAAACATAAAAAACGAAGAGATGATAAGTAATTCAATGTCTTTATTATTTTATTACTTCTCTTCATTTAATTATTCATAAATAAATTTATATATTTATTGATAGTTATTATGATAATTTCAATTTTAAAACCATACATTAATGAACATAAACAAAAAATTTAATAACAAAATATAATAACTAACATTAATATTTATGTTGATCTTCTTGTTTTGTGAGGTTGACTAACAAATTGTTTCTCTTTTTTTAATTATCAATTCTTTTCTCTGAACAATGTCAAATATTCATTGTGAAAATATATCTTCAACTTTAATACTATCTTTTGTACTAACAAAAAAGTGTGTAATACTACTACCTATGTTTTTTTTACAAATCTATCAATAAATTATGGTTGTACATATATTGTATCTTTGAAATTCATTCAATTTCTAATAAGAATAATAATATAAATATATTACAAATGATTTTGTTTAATTTTTTTTTTCAATTACCACATTAAATCTAGATGATATATTTAATTATATATAGATGTAGTAATTTCATTATAGATTATAAAAATTCTTTAGAATATCTCTGTAATACTATGATAGTATATTTCTAAATCTTTCTTACCAAATTTCAAAAATAAGACTGTTTTATTTTCTAATTGTAAATCTCATAAAATATATCAACAATCTCATATCCCATAATTTTATCTTATACTTTTATTCTTTCCTTTCATTAACTTTGGTTTAAAGTTAAGACTAATTATTAACATAAATTATAATTTAAATGTATTGTTACAAAGTTTTTGTATTAATTTAGTCTTTCCATCTTTAGATTCTTCAATAATAAGAGATGAATTATAATTCATTTTATTTTTTATTTGAATCAATTATATTCAATTTCATTGATTTAAACTTCCTTATGAATAAAATCTTATTTAAACTTAAAAACCTTTTAGTCTCTCTCTAATTAATACGTCTAAATAAACAAAACATTTCAAAAAATAATCTGAATAATTAAAAAAAAAGACTTATTCCTTAGTTATTTGATTAGAATGATTTTTACGAAGTTCTTCCCATTTCTTTCTTAACTCTTCAATAGAAATAGGTGCAGATTCAGCTCTAATGAGTTTTTTACGTTCATATATAGTTGGTTTTTCACTTACAATAGAAGCAGCGAGAGAAGCAGCTTTAGGAGTTTTAAAATATTTTTCAAAAGTAGAACTTAATGATAAACCAGTGTCTGAAGAAGTTGTTTTTTTTGTTCTTTTTCTCATAGGAATTCTCTTCTTTCCAGTAGGACTAACAGTTGGATGTTCAACAACTTGTTTTGAATAAACTACAGATGTTTCTGTTTCATTATTTATTTCTTCTGTAGAAGTAGAAGGAAGTAAAGATGGAGTATTGATTATATGTTCTGCCTTTTCATATTCTGAGATTTTATCAGCAAGATGAGATATATCAAGATCATCTTCTTTTTCATCATCAGAATCATAAGTATCATATACATAATAAAGGAAATCATCCCATAAATTACTAACTTCTTTAACAAGTAATTGAAGACTTAATTTAAACCCATCAACAAGTATTGGTTTATAATCACTAATAAGGTCTGAACCATTATATGTTCTTACATTAATTCCAGTATCAGAAATAAGCATTCCAGCACCTTTATTTCTATCAGAATAATTAGGAGCACTAAAAATAGTAAAAGCTAAAGGAGAATCAAGATCAATATCACCAAAATTATGTAATTCAATTCCATTAGAAACACATTGATGCCCTCTTATAATAGCTCTAACTTGTGTATTTTCAATAAATTTAGACATAGCAGCATATCCATAAATAAAAGAACAATTCCGTGGACTATTAGGAAGAAAACCAATAGTTTCCCATCTCCATTTTATATTTGGATTTTCAGCAAAGAAAGAATCACTTGTAGGATCAGACCATAATAAATCACAAAATAATCCACTATGAGGAGGTTCAGTAAATCTATCAATATATCTAATATCATCTAATACATTTAATTTAGGTGAAATACCACCATGACATAATAAGAAAGAACCTAAAGAACATTTAAATAAAGCAGCTAATGGAATTGTATTAAAAAACTCACAAAATAAATCATAAATAAAAGTATTATATTTCCAAATTGTTTCTGTTTTAAAACCAAATTTTTCTGTCATAGAACGAGATTCATGATTACCACGAAGTAAAATAACACCATTTGGATTATTTACTTTCATACAAAGTAATGTAATAAGAATTTCACATGAATATTCTCCACGATCAACATAATCACCTAAAAAAACAGTTGTATATTGATATTTATCCCATTCATTATCAGATAACTCAGATAAAAAATCAAAATATTGTCCATGAAAATCACCAAAAACAAGAGCAGCATTTTCTATTTCAATTAAATTAGGTTCTGCTCTTGTTAATTCTGAAACTTCTTTAATAAGAGAAATTAAACAATTTTGTTCAATAATTCCACCTTTCATAAAATGATCTCTAAGAACATTCAAATCATATTTACTATTAAGTCGAGGAATAATTAATTTTGATTGAAGAATAGTCATTACACTCAATAAAACATTTTTAAGTTCTTTGAAAACAATCTGCATTTCATTCTTTTTTTTTTTTTCTCCTTTTCTTTTACTTCCATCAAAACTAAAATTCTTTTACTTTTTCTTTTAGTTTTTTTATTATAAAATAAATTATTTCTTTTAGTATTTTTGGTTAATAAAATTTCTGTTTTTATTATTATTTGAAATTCTGAATGGAACACCTTATTAGTGAAGAAACAAAAGTTACTGTTCAAGCAATTCAAGATATTTCTGGTCTTGGATTTCTTGATAAAAGTAAAGGAACAAATATTCCAAGTTTAACTGAATTAACACAAACTCAACACAATATTGAATCACAAATTTTAACTTCAAATTCACAAAATGATTTATCTCTTAATGATTCATCTATTCCTGAAGGAAGAAAATTTCAAATACCTTTATGGTTAGCTATTACTTTACAAAACTATGGTTATGTTAGAATTATTGTTAATGAAGAATTTAATAAAGAATATTCCCGTCAATTTATTAAAAAAGCAACTGACGTATTTGAAGTAAATCCTTCTTCTATTAATTTTAGTAAATTCCCTTTTTATTTTGAAGTTGGTGGAAATATTGCACAAGAAATTGGTGATGTTGAATTAGCTAAATCTATTCGTAACATGATGTTAATTCGTTTACGTCGTATTTATGATGAAGCTTGTAATTCATCAGAACAAACAAATAAATTTGTTAGAACTTTAACTCATTCAGAAAAAGAATTATATCAAGAAATTATTGATGTAAATGCTCAATCAAAAAAAGTTAAAACAATGGAACTTGATCATGTTCAAATGTCTTCATTTCATGATATTATTCATAAATAATTGTAAAAATCATAATTTTTACCTTTTCTTTTTTTTTTTTTTTTTTTTCTTCTTGGTATAAACTTTAAAATTATTGAACTTATATTTCGTGTATAATGGAAATTACTTTTGTTCAAGGTAATAATTGGCCAAAAGCTGATGTAATTCAATGGTGTGATCCTTATGTTATAATGAAGTATACAGAAGAAGGTTCCCCAAAGGTTTTTAAAACTTCAGTTCAAAAGAATACTTCTGAACCTAAATGGGACCAATCAATAGAAGTAAAAGAATTGTCAGGAGAATTAGTTTTTGAATGTTGGGATTGGGATAGAATGAATTCTGATGACTTACTTGGAACAGTAAAAGTACCAATTCCTGATTTTCAAGAACCAGAAAAGACAGTAACTCTTGTTGTTGTTCTTGATGAGTCTTATAAGAAGAAGAGAAAAAATAATAATATGGAAACTACTATTACTATCACATTTAAACATTCTAATGTAAAAACTCCTACTAAAGTTAATAGTTTACAAGAAACTCTTAAACAAGAAGAAGAAAAGAAAAGAATTTATTTAAAGGATTATATCCCAGTATTAAAAAATTTTACTGGTAAAACTGATTTTTCTTTACTTTTCTCTTCAGATATCTTCTCAATAGATCCAGAAGTATTACATACTAAGATTTATGGTAAAAGAAATTTAATGTTACTTATTATTACTGAAAATGGATGTTCATTCGGTTCATTTAATGAACAATCAATATTAGGTGATGCTGAAGGTAATGATGATATATCAAAAGATGATAATGGATGTATTTTTTCTATTGTTGGACCAATGTCTGATCCAACTCGATTTAATGTAAAAAATCCTAATGCCACGTCATTATGTCTATTTAATGGAAAGTCACAATCTCAAGATGTGATTATTGGAGTAAATGGTGCTTTTTATATTAAAAAAGATAAATCAGTTTATGAACTTCCTTCTATTGGTGATTATTATGATATTGGTGGAAGTCATTCAGTACTTTTAGGTCAATTTTATCCAATAACATTTCCTATTTCAAAGTTCCTTGTGCTTCAATGGAATTAAAAAGTTATTATGACAAATCCATTTTTAACTTTGTTTTAAATAACTTTATTTTTTTTTTCCTTTCTTCTAATAACATTTATCTTTTTTTGTTTTTTTTTAGAGTTTTAGTATTAAAAACCCTTCTATCTAAAGTTGAGACTAAAAATAGAAGAGTTTTTTATCTTCCTATTTATTAATATCAATGTTATTTTTTTTTTTGTTTTTTTGTATTTATTTCTGAAAAGAAATATTGTTTTTTTTAATAGTTCAAGTTATTTGAGAATTTAGGTTAGAAATTCAAAAAATGCACAAACAATTCAAGTTAAAACATCCAAAATACACTCTTTCTATATTATTTACACACATTACAACGTATGAGATAAATAAGTAAAAAGGGAAAAGACATAAGTCTATCAGTAAAGACTTTATGACTGTTTTAACAACTAATTATTAAAAAAACTTTTTTTTATAAAAAGGTTGTTTCTATTGATTAAAAATATAATTCGACAAAATTAATAGTAATTTTAAATACCTATTATAACTTCATTATATAATAAAATATATAGAAGAAATTAATTAAAAACATGTAAATATAAATATTGAAGATTCTGTACAATAAATCAAATTTATATAACAAAAAGATTCTAGGAGGATTATTGAGACTAAGTCAAATAACCAAATTCAAAATGATGATTTTAATCAATAAATGAATAAGATACTTAAAAATTAGATGTTGTGTATGAAAAGAATTACTTTTCAATAAAATTGACATGTTTGTAAAAGAAAACGTCATGGTTAGAGGAGTGTTGAGAAAGAACGTTTTAATAAACTTTTGTAACTATTAAATTAGTAACAGAATAAATATATCAAAAAAGAAAATAATTTTGTAAATAAACGAGTAACTAGTAACTCTATTTCAGTTTCTTAAGTGTACCTAAGTTCAACTAGGACTTTGTCATTTTTTTTGAAAAAAAAGATGATAGGACTAAAAATAGATTTAAACAACAACGTTTTTTTTTTTAAACTATGAAAGAGTGAAAATATTTTGGATAATTTGACTAATAAAGAAGAATTACTCACAAATTGGATCGGCTCTTTTGGTTCATATAAATAATTTTGTCTCTCAATAAAATGAAAATAAAACTGCGATTCTTTTTATTAACAACCACTTAATTAAGAATGTTGTTTAAAATGATACTATTTAAAGTTCTTAAAGAATATCTTGAAAAATCGAATGAACGTTGTTGTCACGAGAAAGAAGTATAGAAGGTGCAATAAAAGTATAAAACTTTCTCGCCAAGAAGCTTTACAACTTCAGGTTGATTTTGAATGTGTGTTACTTGCTTTATTGTCTTCTCACTATGAATTTGTTATGACAAAGCCTCAGAAAAAGACTAAAACATCATTTCAATTTATGAAAGTGAAAGAAGCAATTTCATGTGATCCTAAAGAAGACTTTTTTGTCTTTAATGTTCAAAAATTTATTAAGACAAGAGCTTCAGAAATGGTTAGTTCAGAAATTAGAAATGGAATAAGTTACTTAACAGCACAAAGAAGAGTTCAAGACTTAAAACATATTGAAACTATTCATTTATTTGAAGATATGTTAGGAGAAGATTATATCTTTGAAATTGGATTTGAAGACCGTGATGGGATTCATGGTTCAATTCATATTTATTTTCGTGATCAATTACTCTATACAACTAATCAAATTAAAAAAATTGGTCAATCAATTTACTTGTACATTAATTCAAAATTACCTTCACCAGACAGAATTATTCGTTTAAACGAACTTTCACCATTTCTTTCATTGTAAATCAAATTTTTTTTGTTTGATAAATCATATTTGTTCTTTTTTTATATTTTTCTTTTTATAGAATAACATCCAATATCATTTTGTAACGAATCTATAACCAATAAAGTTTTTTTCAAACAAAATAAAATTGTTTATTCTTCTAACACCCACAAAATTATATTTTTTATTCTCTCTAAATATTTTTCTTGGTAGTTTCTTCAGTCTAGACATTTGAACTTATTATCTTTTAGTCATGGTTATTAACAACCAGTTATATTCAATAAACTAGAATTAGTTTAACTAATGGTGTATATTTTATTGCTTTTAGATTAGTAAAATGAATTAGGAGCGGTGTTTTTCTAGATTAATTTAATACCATGACATTAAAAACAAGATCAAATAGTGTGAATGAAAAAAAAAATAAAATACTTGTATTTTCAAACGCTTCATCTTTTTATGCGTTTTGTTATTTTCTTTATTACTTTTCAGATTAATGGTAGAACAAATATGTTTTGTTTAATAGAGTTTTATTATAAACATTAACTTACACTTCATGACTGGCATTAAATATACTACTTATCATTATCTAAATTCAATTATATATTACTTTAAGTTAGTCATGAAATGTTGTTTGGTTATTGGTTTACTTGTTATTTATTTACTTATTTATCTGTTTCAATAGTTTAATATTTTGATTATTTATAATTATTAAATTGGAGACATTTACTTTCTTTAGTCATTTTTTATTTGTTAATACTTTTTAGTATTATATGTTAATATTAATAATATTCATAAGGAGATTTTTTATTGGGTTATTGAATTAAAACTTATCTTACCTGTGACACACTTATTTTGTATTTTTTCTCTTTATTATAAGAGAAAAATAGCAAAACATGAACAAGCTAGACAATTACACAAGAGAAGTTATTAATAATTCTTTTAAGAATATTTCACGTTTTGTTCTATATTTATTAATATCAACTTGTAATCTTGTTTTATTTATAATTATTTTATTTGTTTTATTTTCTTAAAAAATATTTAATTGATTATAACTTTTGTTGTAATGTTTTTTTATTTCTTCTTTACTTTCTGCTGTTATGAGTATCTTCAATTTTTCTTCTTTACTTCATTCTTTTAATTATTGCTTTTTTCATTTTTTATATTCTTATTCTTTCTTTTTGTATTAGTTTATAATTCTGTTTTTTTTCGTATTTCTTGCTATTTCTTTTCTTGGTTTATACCTACTTATTTTATTTCTCTTCTTTCTTACTTTATTCTTCTGATTATCTTTTTTCTTATTTCAGTATTTTATTCCTTCTTGTTTTTATTTTTTTACATTTAACATAAATTTTGTGTTTTGTTGTCATATGTTATTCATTTCCTATTTCTTTTATCTTTTATCTTTCAATTTTATTGTATTGTAGTTTTTCAATTCAATTAATATGAATAGATATAATTAATTATTATATTTTTATTCATTTTATCATTACCTTTCAAATGATTATTGTTTATTTCATATTCACTGTTTTATTTTTTTTTTATTTTTATACTGTCATGTATCATTTCTATTTAAATTTATAAATAATAAGTATTTTTTTAATGTGTGTTTATTCAATATTAGTTTCATATCTATTTTATGACTATTATTGAATAATATGTATTTTGGCACCAATTTCAATCATTCAATTTCTTTGTTTGTTAAGTTTTTATTCAAAATATATATTTCAAATTCAGTTATGATATTAATTGAATTAGAATAATACCGAGAAGTAAATAAAGAATTTAAAAGAGTTATAAATGAAAATATTAAAATAAATTTAAGTTGTTATTTTGTAATTGTATGTTGAGGATGTGTTTATGCCAATTTTCTTTTGTTTCTTGTTTTTTTTCATTTTTGTGTTGTTATTCATTCAATACTTCAATTAGTATTTGTATTGTAATGATACTTTGATACATTTTATTATTAATAATATCATTATATAATATAAAATAAAGAGAATAAAATGAAATGAAGAGAATAAAATGAAATGAAGAGATGAAAGAGAATGGAATAAATCAAAGACATTTATTCATCAAAATTTTGAAATATTGTATAATGAATCTTATTAATATCTCATCTATTCATTTTTCTTCTAAAATTTGTTCTGAATTATTAATGTTTCGTTTGGTAGATAATTAACATTTATTTATTTAATTGTTATTGAATATCATAACAAATAATAAAAATTAAAATATAATT